AGCATTTCTTGTGGACTCACAGAGAAGTGATACATACAAGTTAATTAATCAAGCATGACAAAAAAAGGTTTGCTTTCCATCTGAGTCTGGCACAGCTTCTAATGAAAAAGATGAATGCAAACTCACTTTGGAAGTATTGAAATGCTTAATATTTGTCAGCTACACCCTGCTGAATATAATCATTTAAAAAATATGTCAGCAAATGGACCTGTGAGAGGAAAGTCTTAGAACTGCAAAAATACATCTTTTTTGGGAAATATTTTAGAACTTTTGGACTTTAAAAAACAGTAACTGTTTTTCAAAGGAAATGTCTGAAAATTCTACAAAAACATGTTTTTTTTCCAAATAGCTGGGATTTTTGGCATAAAAAGATAAAAACACAAAAAAAGTCTCAGACTTAATACCTACTTGGCTGTACACTCCATTTCGTGATGGATGGATCCTTCGGCAGGCATCTTTAGGCCCTGAATTTCCCTTTTCCAAGGCTCCTCCTGTTTCAAGGGTTGGATATGCTCCTCTTTTTTTTTTTTTTTTTTAGGTCTCCAGAGTCTCAGCTCTACTTCCTCTTGCTTTTTGCTCCACTTTATGAGGCCAGCCTCCTTCTTACAGGGTTACTGTCTACCCTTTCTTCCCTGCCAAAAGGCCAGGTGTCTCAGCACCTCTCCACCACTTTCACATTTGCTTTTGTTCCTACAGATGTCTCCTGGACTGCTGGCTGACTCTGGGATGCTGACATGGAGCCTTGATACTTGAGATAGAAAAAGAAAATGACTGGGGAGTTACTGCCACTCACATAGCCATCATTTTTTCCATGGGCACTAACACCTCTTCTCAGAAGGACTAAGAGATAGACCATCACCTCCCATTTTCTATCCAGCTCTCATGCTGTGTTTTAGCAGTATCTTTTCCCCAGCTATTCCCTTTCATATTCCAGATACCAAACCTTATCATCTTCTTGCTTTAGGAAATACCTGCAAAATGATCAAGATTTCTCTTAATGCTATCCATTGTTGGTAGAACTTCTCTCCATTTTTTTTTTTTCTCAGTTTGTTCTGTGCTGTTCCTTTCAAACTGTTGCTTTTGGAAAATATTTGCCTGCCTGTGAAAGATCCCTGCTAGAACATTTATGGGCAGTGAATCCAAAACCTGTGTGAGCAGCACCAGAGTATGGACTTTACATCCATGAATGTTTCTTTTGCCAGTATTTGTCCTGTTTTACTCCTTTTGTCTTGTCACATGTCTGGGTGATCAAGTGACTGCCCCATCATAATTACTAATCCTGATTTATTTTGTCTCAGGCAGATTGGGGCACAGGGGACACAGTTTAGGAAAGCTCTTAAGCATGTGGTTTTCTCTGTCCCTGTTGCAAAATAAAACCAATTTCCTGAGCTGGATGTAGGGAATGGTGGAGACACAAACAGATCTCCCCGTTGCCTGCAAAAGAGGAAGAACTACTTTTGTCCTATGCAGATGCTCATATGCCTAAATTAAACTTAGATCTGACATTTGGATGGGGAAGAGAGGATGGGAAATGATCAATGTGATTTTTGTTACACAATCCTTTGCTCTGTGCTTTGTTGCCACTCAGATTTGCTAAGGGGAGATAAGTCAGCTCATCTGTCACTGTCTTTTCCATGTCCTAACTGGACGTGCTAGGGACAGACAGCTCCCTGGCAATGAGTTTGAATCAAGTGGATTGGCTGTATTCATGCTGTTGAGAGCTGATCATCCTTTGGCATGAGCTTTGGCTTTGAGAGAGCTAGTTAGGGTGGTCCAAAAGAGAGCCAGAGAATGAGGTAATTAAGCAGTGTGGGCTAGCACAGTCCTGGTGCACCAGATCTTTCCTGGGCACTCAGTCTGTGGTGTAGACACAAGTGACCCCCTTGCCAAAAAGTGCATCTGGACGATGTCGCATGACCAGAGTTAGGGCCTGGCTTTGTTTAAAGCAGTTCTCCTGCACTGAAGGCGAGGTAGTGACAATAATATGCATTGTATGAAAAGCTGTGTAGCATTGTCAATAATTATCAGATAATCCTTAGTAGTACGAACAGCCAATATGTCTACAAAGTTGTTTTCCTTTTATTTGGTGAGGAATTCTGAGAAAAGATTGCCACCAATACAAACCAGGCATTGTAAACATTTCCAGGGATCACTTTCCTGATCCTGAGGAGAATCAGAAAAGATTTTGTTTTCCTGGAAATTAATATTTTACAAGTGGACAGAAGAGGCTGCATCTGCAGAACTGCAAACTTTCCAGGCAGGCGTGATGAGTCATGAGTTTGAAAGCAAACTTCTCCTGCACTCACGAGGATTAGCTTTGTTAAAACAATCTTGGCTACCTGCGGATTCAGCCTGTGTTATAGCTGTTATGGGAGCGAGAGTAAAATAAGTGACTTTGTGTTGCTTCTCTTTAAGGTGCATTCAGGATTCATATGGCAAGGGGCTGTTTTCAGACCTGAGGTGTTAGGCTTGGCTCTGTGGCTCACATGTGGCAAACTGCCAGTTTTGTGAGGTCTCGGCTAGGAGGGAGAAAGGTATACCACTGCCTAGTCCTATTCACAGGCTGTTTATTGGATTTGGCCAGGATGTACGCAGCTAGATAAGCTGAATGAAGCAAAATTCCTGAGTGCATTAACGTCCATTGCTAAATTCAAGTGGTGTTTTGAGAGAGCCAGCTGACTGTAGTGCATACACGCTGGTCAGATTTATGTTTGTAGACAAATGCCAGTTATAGAAATAAAGAAATATAGAAATAAAATAAAGTATATTCTAGGGAAGAAAGAGTAATTCTACTAGAAGTTAATTCATAGTAAATGTTAAAAGTTTGAATTGAAATTATATTTGACTAAAAACCTCACCGGAGTGATGGCTTTAAATTAGTTGTCCTACATCATAATTTAAATTCCCATGCTGTTTATTGTAAACAATTCACATGCATTGTTTTCTTCTCTCATATAAAAGATGAGGAAATATAATGGATGTAACATAGTGACCTTTTGATCCCTGTTACAATTTAGATAACAGGCTTTAGTCACGGCTTCATTTATTGCACAGATGACTAAAGTGTGAAACTGGAAGTGTTGATTCTCAAAATATGAACCTCAATATCATTGGAAATTTTTTATTTTTTATTTTCCTTTGATGTGGTCACTGTGCTTGTGGGTTAGGAAACAAGCTTAATTAGTAGGAATCCACTGTAGTGAGTGGGTAGGATTTTGTTAGGGTAGGATTTAAATGACTTGCAATGTGCACATGCACACCTTAGTAGCTCCCATGAGGGTCCCTTTGTAGTCAGTGGGGAAAAAAAAAGCACTATCAGGGTGTTTTTCTTTTTCCTCTGAAGCTAATGCTTGAAATAGGTGAATTGTCAGGAAAGATGAACCGTGCCTTAACATTGTAGGGCTTCATTGAGAGTAAGAGGAGTCTGACATGAGCCTCAATGAATCCCACCCCTTCTGTCTGTTACTGTGCAAGTCCAGGTCATTAGCAGGGAGCATTTTCATCGTTGTCAAAATGCTTGCTACACAGTAAAAGCAAAGGAATGTGCCTAATAGCTTCTATGCATGGTATTATTCATGGAAATACTGTCTAGGAAATGATGATACCATCATACTTGCACTTCGATATGTCTTAATATTTGTGCCTTATTTTTACCATATAAGTGAATTAATCCTCACAGCCTCCTGCTTTTACCTCCCCTTTAGAGATGGTGAAACTGGAGCAGAGGCACATCAGAAACCAGAGATGCTGAGCTTCCTCAGATTTCAAGGGAAAGGATGTCCCAGAGTGACTCAATCAGTGCTTCGAATGCTCCAACATCATTTCTGGCAATCTGTCTGTGGTAATACTTGGGATGATACAAAATGCACCCTTCTCCATTTGGAAGAGAAGAAGGTGATGAAACCACATCCTCAGGCTTAAACTAGAAGTACATATATTTGTGCATATTATCTCATTTCCTCTGTGTGATTTCTGAGGCCATGCATGGAGGTCATTGCCTAGTCAGCAAGCACTGGTTTCACCCTTGAAGGCACTGCTGTTCCTGAATTTGTTTGTCCTAAAAGACACCATGAATTCCTACCACCCTCTACTCTAGTCCCCTGGAAATATTCAGCACCTTGCAAGTACAAACGTCTGAAGAACATTTTCAGTGGTAACTGTTTTTTTTAAGGCTATTTCCATGTGTCAACACCTTGCTGAAAATTGATGAGCTGTGTTTGGCTGTACTGAAATTCTTCATAAGAATCACTGCCTACAAGTAGCTTGAGTACAGGTTTGGATCTTAAAAAAGCCTCGATTTATACTTTGTAAAACAGTGCTTAGAAGTCCATTTGATATCTATATACATAGATAACTGTAATATTAATTACAGTGTGGCTTATATATATATATATTTATTTTTTTTTCCTCAGGAACAACACATCTAAATAGACAATCAATAGAAACCTAGCATAGAATTGCCTGTATTTTTGGGGGGGAGATCAGTGTCATATTTGCAGAAATATGCTGAATTACATGTATCTCCACTAAAAAGCTATGTGTTTTATGTGTGCCATATGGCTACAAGGGTTTCAAACAAAAACTCCCTAATCCCCTTTCTGATGGAGAAACTGCTCGGAATTTTCATTTTGAAATAATTTTTCTTTTCAAAATTTGGCTTATGTTAATTTAAAAAGGGCAAGATGCCTAATGCAACTGAAACCTCCCCAAACAAAATTCCCTTTTCATTCTCTTCTCTTCTCTTCTCTTCTCTTCTCTTCTCTTCTCTTCTCTTCTCTTCTCTTCTCTTCTCTTCTTCTCTCTCTTCTCTTCTCTTCTCTTCTCTTCTCTTCTCTTCTCTTCTTCTCTCTCTTCTCTTTCTCTCTCCTTCTCTTCTCTTCTCTTCTCTTATCTCTCTTCTCTTCTTCTTCTCTTCTCTTCTCTTCTCTTCTCTTCTCTTCTCTTCTCTTCTCTTCTCTTCTCTTCTCTTCTCTTCTCTTCTCTTCTCTTCTCTTCTCTTCTCAAGGAAGTGACATTTAAAAAATTTCAGATTGATCTTAAGCATGAGGATCTTGCTTCTCTCTTGTTTTTTTCAGGTTGCTTCTGAGTCAAAAAGTCAATTATTTATCACCATTTTACTGATGGGGAAATGAAACAGAGAAGAAAGGACTTGTCTTAGTCACATGGGAAGTCTGTGGCAGTTCTGGGTAAGGAGCCTAGGATCCCACGTCCCAGTGCAGCAGTTCAAAGCTTCAACCACAAAATAAACAAAACAGTGAAGTTCTTTTTATAGCTGGAAACCATTGCTGACATATGTCGAAAGACCCGCTTGGATTCTCACACTTAGAGCATATAAAAGTGATATCGCTTCTCAGCCAGATGGCAGTTACTTGCCCTGGGTTAGAAATATCAATTTTAATGTGAACTGTGAGTTTTACATAGTCTGTTCATGCTCAGAACCCCCTGTCACTCAAACCCACGGACCTCTCCATCCACTGGGATGAACCCATACGTGCCGCTTTCCTTTCATCCTGCAAAAAACATATTCCAGCACTAACCCTGGTGCTGCCCAGAACTTAAACTGATCCGTGATGAAGGAAGATGGCAGTCACCTATAATGACTGAAGTCTTATTTTGAGGTCTGTGATGGGAGCAGCACCCATGCAGGCTCAAAGGGATCCTGGTAGATCATATAATTTCAGGAGGAAGTGACATCAGGGCTGAATGACAGGGCTTTAATCCTATGCATTATTTAGTGTGTGATATTGTTGTGGGGAGGGACTGCACACTGAAGAAGATATTTTCTGAAGGAAAATAAAGGAAGGCAGAACAGCTGATTAGTTACTATTATCAGACGCTAATGGGTGTCATGTTGATAAGATGGTAACCAGATAGCATGTAGAAAGGATTTTAGTGCTAAGTACTCCATTGCCTTTGTGTGATGCCTCATTACTGCACTTGGATCCCCTCCTCTATAAATTTTTAATGACCTCACCATTTTTCATGTAACACTTCACTCCTTGCTTTGCTCTCCTTTTTGTCCTGTTCAGGTCCTCATCTGAAGTGGAAATACATTGTGTGCTGAGATGTGGAGACTCCAGTTTATTGTCCTGCAGCACACAGCCCTCCTGAGAAGACAGGAAAGAGAATAAGATTCCGAAACTTAGCTTCAAATGTTCATTGCAGGGACTGACAGTAAAGGAGTTTTATTAGGTCTGTTCAATGGTGGCTAAGAGTTTCCATGTAAAGCTACGTGATAGGTACAGCACATTTATGGGGTGACACCATTGCTAAAAGCCCCCCAATGACTCCTTCATGGGCATGGAGGCAGGCCAGACTCCTCCTCCTTGTCATAGTGGCAAGGCTAAGAGAGAGAAACAAATGGAAATCACAGCACCTTTGGGCTTGATCTAGTCTTCATCAAGGGATGAATTAGCCCAAAAAGCCAGAATGGAAGGGGAGTTTATATTAATGCCTCATTGTCCTGTGTCACAGCAAGCACTGGGGAAGAAGGAAAGTTCCTTACTTGGACTCACAGTTAGTGTCTCCTAAAACCAGAGCTGAAATATTAGCCCTGCTCAGTATGAGACCTTTTCAGAACGTGGTGGTTAGAAAAATGCATGTTAATTAATGAAAGGAATGGCAATCAGTGCCAATTAGTAAACGTCAATAAACTCCCTTGTAAATGAGGAACATTGGGAATGGGTATTCTCCCTATAGCCTTATTTATCCCTAGTGATGCAACTGATGAGGGCCCAGATCTTTGTTGTGGGAGGAAGGATAGTGTGGCTGAAAAAGTATCTCGAGTCTTTCAGATAATGTGTTGCACTTTTGGTTTTGTTTATAAACTAGGTTTGGAGAGAGCCTTCTTTGGACCTTCCATCTGAAACCATCTGGAGGAAAATGCTTTTGCTTTTGGCCGGTTTTGGCTGTGTTCCTGCCCTGCCACGTGGAGCTCCTCAGCCTGGAGGTCGGGCTTGGCAAACGCAGCCTCGTGTCGTGAAACCCACAGCTGTGGGCAGAGTGGCTTCTCTTTGACATTTCTCGAGTGAGTAAGACCTGTCTGGAATTTCTGAAGGATTTTCTGCTATCTCGGGTGTCTGCTGTCTGCTGCAGAAACAGTTTTTCTACGGTATTATAGCAAATTTTCCATGGATCGATCATCACCACCACCGCTTCCCCTACAGATAATGCATATCTGGGAATAAAGCTCCTCAGGGCAGCTACCCAGGCTTCCCTCTTTGAAAGGGTCTTTTCTGAAAGATGACACACATGGACTCACATCTTAATATTTATTTATTTTTTTTTTCTCTGAAAACATCTGAGTCACAGTTGTGTGAATAACAGGACACATTAAGGAGCAAATGATATATCTGGTACAAGTGAGCTCACTGTCCCAGCTTACTAGACGAATGTTTATACATTCAAATAAGCAGCACACTCAGCTCCTGGGCTGATCTGTGCAAGACAGCCAATGCGCTGTCTGGTTACATCATGGTGATGCTGAGCATGACATGCACCAGTGGTAACAAGTGGAAGAACAAAGCTGTAGAGCTGTGTGCAGTCTGTGGCAAGGTAATGGACACTTGAGGAATCTGGCTGCTGGGAGCAGGAGTGGGGGAAAATTATATTCACAGGGTAAAATTTAGCTCCAGAAATCCAGTTTCTGAATCTGGACAGTCTGTGAACACACTTTTCTTGTTTTTTCCCTTCCCTTCCCTTCCCCCTTCCCTTCCTTCCCTTCCCTTCCCTTCCCTTCCTTCCTTCCTTCCCTTCCCTTCCCTTCCCTTCCCTTCCTTCCTTCCCTTCCCTTCCCTTCCCTTCCCTTCCCTTCCCTTCCCTTCCCTTCCCTTCCCTTCCCTTCCCTTCCCTTCCCTTCCCTTCCCTTTCTTTTTTTTTAAATTTCTTTTCTTCTTCTTTTTTTTTATTTTCTTTTTCTTTTTTTTTTTTTTTTTTTTCCCAGATCTCTCTTCTCTAGAAAACATTTATAATAAAAAAAAAAAAAAAATATCACCTAAGAGCTTGGAGACAGAAAATGAAATTTTTGTCTTGTGGACAACTGGAAAATTGTTTAGTTTTCTACTTTGGAATGGTTATCAACAATTAGAGTCCCAGCCTACCCTTTTTCTAGAAAACAACCCCTCTGAACAAGGAGATGTGTAAACACAGGACAAAAAGATAGCTATTACCTGAGAAAGCTAAGAAAACTCTGATATATCAATTTCAGAATAACTACATTATTGCATTATTCCCACCTCCATTTTGCAAGATAAATGTTTATACCAAAAGAGTATCAAAGATTAAATATGAAGAATCATTTGATCTTAATTTTTTGTGTTTATTTTTTATTTATTTTTATTTTATTTGGAATTAAAAATCACAAGTATATTTTAAATTCTCTGGTCTTTTAATGTCTTGGAAACTGTGGCACCTCATGAATACTTAAATTAATGGTTTGTGAAAATAACATTACACTCTTTCTTTTACTAGACAGCAACCTCAGCTAAATCCCCCTCCTCCTTCCTGTTGACCTGAGATTTTAGGATTTAATCTGCTCACCTTTGCCAATCCCCCAAAACAATTCCACAACACTGTTTCAAAACTGACCAGCAATATTCTTAGACATTAATGTCCTCTCTGACATTGTCAGAGGCCAGATTGAACCTGATGGGTGTCTAGGAATTTGCAGCTCCCAACCAGATTTTAAGTTCTAAGTTGGTTATTGATGACAGAGCTGGAAATGAGATCCTAGGAAATCAAACTATTATGAATATTTAAAACCTGCAGAATTTCAACCACAGAAAAATGTGGGCTCCCACCGCTCCAGGGAAACTGAGATCTGCCTGACATGTTGAAGTCAGCTGTGCTTTACTCCCAGCACAGGAACTGCCCCCCTTCATCTGACAGTTTGGTGTCCTCAGGAGCAGCATGGGCATTCATGTGCCAAGGCCAGCAGTGTGCCCCAGTGCTCAAATATGAAACAGCTGGGCAGGTCTCTGGGGAGCCCTGTGAGAGGTGAAGAATCTCCCTCCAAAGACGTGGAGTGGCTCCAAGGAGACTCCTTTGCTAATTCTCCTGCTTCTCACTGCCAAAGAGCATCTCGCTGGCTACATTAATCTGCAAGATCTATCTTACTTTAACCGTATTGAAAAGGACTGATGTTTTGGGGTTGTGCTGTGCTATATTAAAATCCATATTTCAAACAATAAATGCTTTCCATTTATCCAGGCTAGTCTCTTTTCTACCGAGCCAAACTTTCAGGCAGTTAGCTAAACCTTTCAGTAATATGAAGCACCTTTTTCATCTTGTGCCAACACTGTAATGCCTCCAATAATTTATGTTTAATTTTTAATACAGTTATCTATCATGAGTAATTATGTGGGCTGCTCACAATATTCCATTTTCTGTTATGTGGTTTTTCTGAAGATTGTGGACTTAAAAAAAATACAGAGTAGTACTACTTTCTGTTGGATTTCCTCTAAAAAAGAAATATTGAGGCATATTTGGAGATACTGTGAGTTAGACCCTGAGAAGTCCCTTGCTCTGTCTTTAGATCTACTGATAGCAGTGTGAGAAGCAGTGTAAGCTGCTGTGATTTATGCACTGCACAGACAGAAAAAAAAGGGCTGAGGAGAGTTCATTCACAGGGAGGTTTGGCTGATGCTTGCATGTGGGGCTCAGGCTTTGGGGAGAAAATGTCACTGCAGCTACTGGTAGTGCACATCAGTGCTGGAAAAGGCATTCACTTTCATCTCCAGAAGCTAAGGAAAAGCTAGTCCTATCCCAGCAAACTTTCCATCTAACTTACTTTCTCCTCCAAGCTCATAAAAGTGTCGATCTCAACACCTGGCGGCTGTGCACCCCTGTTGCTGGGGGAGTGATCCTGCTGCAGTCACTGTAATTGCCCAGTCATGCCTGGAGGAACTGCTGTAACACTGCAGGCACTCTTCTGTAACATTCAGTAACTCCAGGGCTGGAGGAGTGTGATATTTTCTAGTGGCAAAATGGAAAATATCCATTCCTGGCCCAGAGCTGCTTGCACCAGCAGCAGCCACCAAGTGTTTACCTGCCTTGAGTGACAGCCTGGTTTACACGTGCAGTAGGAGCAGCTGGTTTCATTAATCTGTATTTGGCAATAAACATAGATATGAGTACCAGATCTGTCTGAAGGACCGGAACAACTGAACTCCTAGGGACCATATTGTTTTCTGTCCAAATCTACATTTTGGGATGTCTGTGCTCTTTCTCTTATTCAGGAGCTCTCTCTATGAGCACTGCTCTTTTGGGAGGGAAAAAAATGGTTCTTTTTTTTTTTTTTCTTTTTCCTGGCCAGACCACAGCTTGTCCTGACATGCTCTCTGCTCTGGGAATTGGGAGTGGGATGTGTATAGGACTGCTAACGGAAACCTACACCAAGTATCTGAGCACTGGATACTTGTCAGAGACATTTCCAGCCTCTGTGTTGGTGAAGAGGCCCTGGACGATAGTGTGTTTCTGAAACGGCATTGCTTCATGAGTGAATGGTTCATCAAACACACACAGGCTGTCAAAGTTTACAGCTGCTTTTGTTCAGAAAAAAATAAATGTTAAAACGCATTTATCCTCACAACAAAAAAGCATAAATTACTTGTTCTTATCTGAATACCTGAATGAATGAATTATTTTCTTCATATACAATAACTACTCTCATGGAGAAGATGTGGGTGAAACCAAATCAACGCTCCATTACAGAATTTGCACTGACAGTGCAATAAGGGACAGAAACACTTGCTAAGAAAATATTGTCTGTATACAATTTCTTCATGTCTGGCAGCTGAGTCCTGATCCTCAGAGAAGACACAGGCAATACCTTCAAAAGCCAGACCTTCCTGGAAACTCAAGCTAGTAGTCGAAGATGCTGCACTGGATGGGTTCACTACATTTGTTGCTGTAGTCCTCCCCACCCCAAGTAGCATCACCCCATGAGCTCTCCTGATGTGTGTTTAGGAGTTTTTCTACAAAGCCATGGCACTTAGCCTACACTCAGGACTGTTGCTTCCTGAGAAAACTTAATATATTGCTCACTGAGTCTTTGTCAGACCCAAAGGAGACCTTGTATGCCCACAGATTTATCAGTTTTTAATCCCAATATTCTTTGAATGAATGAAAGATATTATCTGTCCTTATGAATGCTGTGAATACCATTGGAAATCTGTAACTAAAATATAGTCATCAAAAAAAAAGGGCTGCAGGTTTGGCCTCTTCAAAGTCAAAGTCAAAGGTAAAGCTTCCCTTGATGTCAGCATCACAAGATTTAAATGAGATAAAAACACAGTTTATTTTGGTAGCAGTTCAAGATTTACGCATCATATCAGATGTTTCACCACATATATAGGTAGCATTGAATAATACAAGATGTGCAGGTAAATCTAAGGCTGTAATTCAATCAAAGACTTTTGTTGATATCTTAACCTGACAGTCAAACAGCTTAAGTAGTTTATGACCAGCAGTAGAACTCCCTTGATTGAATTACTGCATAGCCATTCAATTGCATAAATGTATTGTTATTTATATGGCGTGCCAAGGCCTGATTTTAAAGTTACCAATAGCAGGCTATAACTAATGGAGAAAGAGCAGTACAATATTACAGTGCCCCTTAAGCAAGGAAAATGAATGATGTGCACTGTGTTCTGTGCTCATGTAAAAATAATTGTTGTAGTACTGTAGGGAATTAATTCCTTAGTATCATTAAAGGAAGGAGAACTTGAGGTTGTTAGTCAGAAGTAGTCCCTGGCCCCTATACCAGAGTGTAGGACCTGAGTGATTTTCATTATTGTTAGGCACCTGACTATAGATTGGATCCACAATTTTTTATAATAATGGACTTAAAGGAAAAAAGATGAAAAGAGGTGAAATCGGATACAATAGATGAGCATGGTATAACTACAACACAAATACAGTTCTGTACAAAGGATAAAGGGGGTTTACAGAGACCTCCCTGACTCTCAGCACCTCTGTGCACAGGGAAGGTGCAGCCTCAAGCACTGATGCTGGTGAAACTCCTTACACCAACAGGTGGGAGCTCTGCTGCTGCAGCCCAGCGCTGCTCTCTTGCATCCTCCCAGGGGCTGCAGGTTTTCTGTTCTCTTCTTTTGCTGGAGAACTAGATAGCTTTACCAGGGGAGGGTCCAGAGAGCACGCACATTCAAATCAGCCCTTTTCAGAGGTGGTCAAAACTGCTCAATAGCAGTGCAGGCTGTCTGTATCATGGGCTGTCATGGCAAATTGGAGCTGACAGCTAGAAACTGCTCACATAGATTTCCTATTGCTCCTTTTAACCAGCCTGTATTAAATTGCACCAAAAGGGCTGACAGCCTTAAAATCCATGCCATTATATCACATTAAGGGCTACAAAAATCTGCCTGCTTTCACAAATTTCAAAGTCAATTGATATATAAGCCTAGTAGACATCCTATAGCCTAGAGACACAGTATAACCAGCACATATATGTGCGTGTTCATTCTGCCTCCAGGACCATCTGCAGTTCTCAACTATTGCCCCATATCATTCTGAGAATCCTATACATAAAGGAAATTCTTTTAATATAGGAAAAATTACTACAGGCATGAATATTTCCTTCAGGAAGCCTTCTAACTGGACATGTTTTTTGAAGGCAATATTATCACTTATCTTGGACTCATTAATTACAAGAGTAACCTGTATATGAATGAACATTGCCATTGAGGAAAAAGATACTGCTTGTTT